GCCCCAACTCCAACCCTTAAAAGGCCTTGGGCAAGCTGCTCGGAGGAAGGGTGAAGCTTTATTTTAGGGAAGAGAAGAAAAATCCAAACAAAGCAAATCAACCCCGGAGCAGCCGTGTGGAAAGAGGACATCTGCAACCGTGGGGTGCGAGGAGGTGGGGCCAAGAACGGGACAGGATATTAGTGCTGGCACTGCAGAGGGGAAGTGCTTGGAGTAAGCACAAAGAACATTAAGCTTTTCTAGTTTTTAAAGGATCAAAGGTGAAATACCTGTTTTGCACCCTCCCAAAACACCCCGCTCCCCCATGGGGTTCTCTTGGGCTGGGTTGGCTGCGGTGCTTTTGGCTCTTGAAGGCTTTTGGTGCTTGTTCGCTGACCCGAAGCCTTGAAATAGCATCAAATATAATTCTCCTGAGTGGAAAAACTGCTCTGCACCGTGCCTAGTATCAGCTGTGGAGTGGTGGGTGTGAGCTCTGGTGATCACCCCGATGCCCCAGCGGAGCCCTCCCCAGCTCCACCAGGACCAGCTACAGCTCCCAGTCAAGGGGGCCGTGCCTGGCAGCCGCCCCATTCCCCAAGAACAAGGCTAACAGGAGGGAGTCCAGGGGGGACACTGTTGGCCCTGAGCACCCCGAAGGGGAGAGGCAGCTGGGGCCACGTGAGCGATGCCTGCCTCCCCGCTGCCCGTGCAGGGGGGTGGCGGTGCCTGTGCAGCGGGGTGGCGGTGCCGTGGCACCCCAATTACTCCAGGGAAAGGTGGGTGCCAGCAGCACTGCGAGCAGATGGGAAGATTCCGGCGCTCCCTGGGGCTTCGCACTGCAGTAGTCAACCTGTGGTCGTTGGCATTAGCTTTTTTTCTTTCTTTTTTTTTTTTTTTTTTTTTATTGTGTAAACCGATAACCTTTTTTTTTTTTCACAACAGTGCAAGTAAATATCAAAGTCAGCCCACTGAAATGGATCTTCTACAAAGGAAATTTTGAAGCACTTAAGGCAAGGTTTGTTCATCCTTATCTTCAATTTAGCGTTGAAAAAAATTGAGACCTTCAGGTACTGATTGGCTTAACAAAATTTGTATGGGAAATCTTTTTTTAATTATTTTTTGGTTTAGACTTTCATGTAAAAGATTTACATTACTATGGAAACTGATACTAAGACACATTTGTCTCCGGCTTTCTTTAAAAATCCATTAGGTCCTGTTTGATTTTTAAATGTAAAGGCACACAATAAAGCTTTATGCATTTATTAAAATATACAGATTTTGGTAAATTTAGATTTTTTTTTCTTAGTATCTTGATAATATATATATATATATATATATTATATGTATAGTTGTCAACAACACAATCGCCTGAAAATAAGAATCACTCCATAACATATCTGCATATTTTTTTTCTTTCTCATGACACACTACAAGATCCCATTGTACAATGCACCAATGGGCTTTTGGAAACCACAAAAAAATAAATTAATAGAACAAACTTTGTTTAACAAATACACCAATTTCATACCAGAACTGCAGAGAATTGTTACACCAGAAAGTACCATCTGCAAAAAAAGCAAGATATACATCAGAAAGACCAAACAAAACAAAGTGATGATCATTTACAAGCTGGATTTACAACATCCCATGTCATTCAGGGCGTGATTTCTCTGCCGCGTGGAGGGTGCTGGCGTGCTGGGCCTCATAGCGAGTGGTCGTGACTGTGTGGAGTGAATTTGTGGAGGGACTGAGATCTTATAGAGTCAGTCTGGAAGATTTGAGGTATTTATGCTCCGTCCGTATCGTGCATCGAGCCCCCCGGGCTGCGTGCCCTGCAGGCGGTGGCCAGGCGTGGAGAGGCCATGTGCTCCCACTGGTGGTGGGAGCAGGATGGTACCACTCTGCCTGTGTCCCCCTGATGGGTCGGGGGTGTAAGAACCTCCTTGAGGGTGCCCAGGGGGAAAGGCTGGATTTTGGGGCTACAGCAAATCAAGCACTTGCCCCTCCTCCCAGCATCCGAAACCACCCGCAGGCCAGCGGTGCCCCGAGGCGATGGACACGCCTGAACGGTTGAAGACCCCAACGCCCGCTACGAGGGAAAGCACATGAGCTCCCAAACTGGCCGGACCTGCATGTGCCCCAGTCACTGCTGCCCAGAGCAGGGTGAGGTGACCCCGCTGCAAACCAGCCTCTCTGGGCACCATCCGCTCAGTCACTGGCAAACCTGGGCAAGACCCAACCTGTGGCTCGGCCGCCTTCTCCTTATGCACCTCTGTTTTAGGTGGGATGCAGTGGGCACGGCTCCCACCCTTCCGACACGGTGAGGGCTGACGGCAGCCCATCCCCATCAGATGGTGCCATGGCATCAAACGCTGTTTCCCAGCAGTCCTGGGGACACGGTGCAGCCGTCCTGCCCCGGTGCTTCCTCGGGAAGGGGAAGGAGGATGGGTGAACAGGAACAAGAGCAGCCGAAGGGCTTCACGCAATGCATGGATCCCATGGAGAGGTTCCTACAGACACCAAAGAGCAAGGGATCAAGCCCTTGTCAAGTTATACGGCATAACTAGAGCGGACATGACGACAGACACTGGTACTGGTAACTGCTCTGTAGCAAGAGATTAAGGCTGCAAAAGGAATAACAGGCTTCGATTCGACGGCGTACTTGGGCATTGAGTTTGTGGTTTGATAGATGCCTAAATACCGTGCAGAAGCAGGACAAAGACGACTACTTCAGATACGGTGTAGTACAAGAGCTGGTAGGAAAATAGCATCAATCTTTCTCCCTGAAAATGTAAAGCCAGACCTGTGAGGTGCCATCTCTCTTGGGTACTTCTAAGGCATCGAGGATGAGAGTAGCCAAGCGCGAGTGAGAGGTGACCTTCGCGAGAGGCGCCTGGCACCGCTGGAAAGGTTTCCCAAGCTGGCCTGTGAGCATTGCGCACATTGCAAACAGCTTTTCAGCGGGACACACTTGGGATTTGTGTGCTTGTAGAAGCGTGGGAGGGGCGAGCAGTGGGAGGGGATGCCAGAGCGAAGCTTACAGGTCCTTTTGCCAAATCCTCGCTCCCATCCTGAAGCCCTCTCAGAGGCCAAACTTCCCTTGGCTTGCCCGGGGTGCTCCAGGTTAAGATCTGCAGAATCGGGTGCTCTTCTCCGCTGGGAAAAGGACTGTAGTTTGTCACTGTTTGGGACAGGAGCTGCAGCGAAACTTTTTCAGTGAAGGGCAGAGCCTCTACATCAAGCCCTTGAGCCCCAGGAGCGATGGGGACGGGCGTGGGTCCAGGCACCCTCTGCACCCAGAAGCTCGCTTGCCCGCAGAGGGTGCCAGGCAGGCTCTGTGCTGTGTTTTAGGGGGCTGACCCTCATGGAGTGAACCAAAGTGTTAATGGTTCTCATCTGCCTCGTGTTCAATTGTCCCCTGGGATGCCAGCAGCAGCCCCTGGTACTGGGGGGTGGTGTGGGCTGCTCCAGGGGGATGGATCCGGCTGCAGCCTTCAGCAGCCAGGAAGAGGATGAGTGTCACTGTCTGATGGGGTGCCTCCTTGGTTATTATTTATTCAAAAGGATGTTCCTTCATTGCAGTGTTTTAAACTAAGCATGTTGGTGATGGGCTCCAGAACCGCTGACTCAGCAGTGCAGCGCCTCTCGGTGCTGGGGGAGACGGTGGCTGCGACCAAACCCCATCACCACTGACGGTGCTGAGGGGGTGCTGGCAGCAGGGAACCTGGTGGCACTGCTGGGGGTCACGGCCACGCTCGGGCCGTACTGGAGGATCTAACTATGAGAAACGTCCACTTTCTGATCACCTCTGCCCTGCGAGCCACCAGCTCTGGTTTCAAAGCGAAATACGGGCACTTATAGAACGAGCAGTGTTTCAGTGCTTTTTCATAAAGCATCCACCAAGCCAGGGTCAGAGATAGAGAAAACGGTACAAGGTGGAGACGGCAGCAGGGAGGGAAATTTCAGCAGCTGAGTCCTCTCTGCTTGCTGTGTGTGTCCCAACCCTGCCAAGATGTCGCTGACCCACAGACATTGCTATTTTGCGGCGGCACAGACCGTCCCTGAAGCACCGAGGCCAGAGCGAGCGCTGAGATGTGCCCACCACAGTGAGGGAATTACAGCGCAGTCGTTTTTGTAAAAGACACAGCGTGGTGGAAACAGCGCCCAGCCTCAGACTGGTGATGCTCAGAGAAACGGCGTGTGGTCCTCGTTGACCATTCACATGAGGTGTGTTGAGCCAAGAGCAGGTCCACAGCCCTCGCTGTGATCAGAAATGGGACCAGGCTCCCAACCACAGATTTGGGATGCTTGGCCGTGCTGGGACTTCGAGGTTTGATTGAGACACGGACTAATTTTGAATCACGCTTGGATTTGGGGTGTGGGTATGGACAAGTGGGTAGCACTGCTGTGTGCACCAAGTGCCTTTGTGCCAGAATGGACCATGGAAACGCTGTGTGATGGGACCGATATCCCTGAATCCACCTCTGAGCTATTCCCTTGAAATGGGTTTGTCCATCTCCATTTCGTACCTACCTACACGTCTGTCCCTCTGGCTCAGCTGTTACTTCGAGGTGGTTCAAAGAAAAAAAACACATGTGTTAAGAAAATGCCAAAAATGTTAAGAGTGGCATCCCACTGCTGCGGCCATCGGCTGGACATTCCCCAGGGACAACTCATGTCGTCCCGTCATGCGGCTCCTTCCACCTCTCAACGCCCTTCCAGTTTGGCACATCACCCACTGCACCACCTCCACCGGTACAGCTGCTGCCAGGAGGTCAGCCAGTGCCGGGGGATCAGCCAGTGCTGGGGGAACCATCCACCAGAGCGAGACCCGACTGGTGGAGCCAGGACGGGCCATGAGTGTGTTTGGTTTGGGGTCAACGGCAATCGCAGAGCAAGTCCCGAGGACCGGAGGTGAGCGGGGTGGTGGTGGAGGACCCGGGGAGGACGGGACAGGACAGGAGAACCGCGGGGACCCTTCCTCATCGGCTGGGTGGTGCGGCACCCCGCTGCCTGCCCGGCTACTCGGGTGAGTAGTCCAACTCGTCGTTGGCGATGAGAGCCTCCGACGGCGGTTTGTGCCTGCCTTTGCTTTTCGACCTGCTACTTGTCCGATGGCTTTCCTTTGCTCCCGCCATTTGCTGGTATGAGAAGCCCTTGTCCTCAGAAGGACCCCAGCCCGGGTAGCCCTCGCCCTCAGTGGCGTAGGAGAAGCCATCGTCCACGGAGAAGGGGTCGACGTCCACATCGTAGCGCTGGTAGGTGCTCTGGTGGAGGGCCTCCTCCCGGGCGCTGATCTCCAGCGTGCTGTTCCACATCCCGTAGCCAAAGTAGATGAGCAGACCTGTGGCAGGTGAAAGGGAGAGGGTTGGGCCCCAGCTACCCACCGGCCCTTGCACCCCCTAGATAAAACACCACTATAAACACACCATGCCCCAAAATGGCACCTGCCCCCCCCCCCCCCACGGGATGGGTTGAGGATCCAACCTGGCTCACCACCAGCCTCCTCCCACCTTGCACTGGGCTGGCTCCAGCTGATGAGGGTTAAGCATAAGTAAATATACCTGTATTTTTGAAGCTCGTGTCTGTTGTAGTTGATGGCTGTTCTTTGAAGCTGTTGAGTTTGTGTTTGTGTTTGACCCGAGGGCTGCACTTTTTAAACATCAGCTGGGTTCGCTGCTGGCCACGTGACTGTGCCATCTGCAGCTTCGGTGGGGCAGCAGTTCCCAGCAGATGTGTGGAGGCTCCCAAGTGCCAACAACCCGCATCTCCACCCTGTAACCCTCCCGGCTACCCTTTTCTCTCTGGAGTTTTCTCATGCTCTCAGTCTCTCTCCTGCTGGTGCTCAGAGCCATGTGTGCCCCAGGGTTGTCAGGATGAGTGTATTCGGTATTTAAACAGCTCTGAAATCCTGTCCTTCTCTGCTCAGGAGTTTAATTTCATCTCCCTCTAGCCCTGCCTGATCTTACCTTCCTGCACCAGTGCTTTCCCCGGAATGTATCTGGAGATCTAATTTCCAGTGGATCCTGGGATTACCCCAGATGTGTGCATAGAGAAATCCAGACTTCTCCACATGCTGTGGACTGGCTA